AAAAGGAGAGGAACCAAAGTAAAAAACAAGTCCTCAATAATTCCGGTATCTTAAAAAATAATCTAGTAAGGCTTTTTTCATACAAAACTCATGAACTAATGATTATGTTGTAATGAGATGGTCGAGTTACCACACATGCACTGGGCTTCAAGATGTATTTAAATTTATGAATAAATTAGAGAAATTCTCGTAACAAATTATCCCAGGTTGCTCTACTATGACGGCTTAAGCTTCCTTTCTTGGTTTTTTCTTCTTTTTTTTTGTTAGAAGACAAAGTTACATATGAATAGAACTTGAGATATTAGATTATAAAAACTTAGCCTCTTCCGTCTTAACCAAACCGTTTCCTGTGATGATGGCTTAAGCTCACAAGTATCCAAAAAAATGCCTTTCCATTTGGATTGGAACTACAATCTATTGCTTTATTGTTCCGGCATTTCAAGGTACTATGATAGAGAGAATGGACTAGGGCATTGGTGATAGAATTGTCTGAGTCTCATGGTGAAGTCTCTGATTCCATTCTCACTAAAAGGTAGGGATCCTGATTTACCAAAAAAAAAAAGGTATTATGTTGGCTTAAGCCCATAAGTGTTCCACAAAAATGCCTTTCCATTTGGATTGGAACTACAACATCATGGCTTAAGCCCACAAGTGCTCCACAAAAATGCCTTTCCATTTGGATTGGAACTACAATCTATTGTTTTGCTGTTCTGGCCTTTCAAGTACTGTTCTGGAGCGACTTCCCTTCCATGAATGGAACCTTCCTTCACTCTTGTCAAACTCGCTTCACTTTCATGATCATACAATTTATATTTAACCTACATAAATCTCATCAAAAGCCGCAGCTAAATGCAATCAAGTAAACCTAGCATCGTAGCCCTACATATTTATATAAAAAGAAAGAATCCTAAACGTACAACTAACTTGAACTTAGTCAGCCCTTTGAAACCATACCCACTGGTCCCTATCCTTTTGATAAGGATTTGGTCCAGCCTGATGTGGCATTTTCCTACACTTTTACCATAGGGAAATGGAAGCTCATCTCTTTTGGCAGACTTTCAACTCGCATACACCCCGGGTTATAAAAAACCAATTCACCACACCTTTTCCTTGCAATAAATAAATAAATAAATAATGATAATAATAATAGAACACTACACCCTCTCGTTGACGTTTTCACTATCCAAATTACTATTTTAATTATATTATTTATTCAATACCCATTTCCGTCCAAAAAGCATTCCCAAACCATAACCTATAGAAACCGATCTCTCTACCCCTTCTTCCTCTCTCCATCTCTAACCACCCAACCCAAAGTCTCTTCAATATATATATATATATATATATATATATATATATATATAGAGAGTACGTTATATAGTCGACTACGTAGTTAGTAGTAGTATTAATTATTACTAACCTAACTTAAACTTAAACT